AAGTTCCCCTTTGAGTGAGTTGTCAGTGTGAGTGCTGGGTTGGGCTGTGCTCAGACTCTGTGTGCCCCAGCTTGTCACTCTACCTGTCACCCTTCCCTGGGCTCTGCATTGCAATATTATCCACAGCCACCTTCTCCAGAGTGTGTGTCTATGGCTCACAAGAGGCCTCCATAGCCACAGACTGAATATTTTTCCACCTCATGACTGATTTCTGTTTTCACAGAGGCTCTATTTTAGAAGGTTGAATTGACAGTTGATGGTAAATAGTTCAAGTTTAGAAATACCCATTTACTGTCATCAGTGACTATAGACATAATTTATAATTTGACTTGATTAGCACTTCCTTTGCTAACTGCTTTTAACTGGGTAGTAATCACATGTGAGTAGTAATTTCATTCTTTCCATCCGTTTTCACAATGTTCTTCCTAAAGGCTTCCTGGGTATCTCCTTGAACTTACAAATCAATGTACAGAAGGAGCAGCTGGGAAGTTCCCCAGGAGGAAGACACAAGATTTTCCTGGGCTTTCCAGGTGACAGCCACCTCATTTGACTCTCTGAGTGCCACATCTGTATTTATTTTTCCATTCATGTCAAAATGTTTAAATTTAAATGAAAATGTATGTAAACAGGGTTTCTAAATAAGAAACAAACTGTACATCCCATGAAAAGATTTATGTTTTATACCAGGGAATAGTGATTTTCTGAATTGCGTACTGATGTTAATTTGCCCAAAGCATCCCAGGTTTCCAAGCTATGAAATAAACAAGCCAACCTCTCCTCCCACTCAATGGAAAGCTCCTCCAACAGCAGCAAAGCAGCCTCCCCTGCCTCACTTGCTCCAGTCCCAAGTAGCGTCTCCTGCCCTGTAGTGCTCTGGACTCAGGTTTTCAGCGCCATGTGGGGGCCAAGTACTTGTGTCCCTTTCTGTGTGTGACACTTACGCTAGGTCTGTGCCACAAAACATAGCTATCTCTGGAGCACAATGAATACACTCTAGAAAGGGCCCTCCATAAAGAGCTGGAATCTTACACTTGGAAGCATCCGGTTCCTCTCATCCCGAGAGACCTTGGGCTCATCCAAGACACCTGAGTCCTTGGGCTCAGTCACTGACGCACTTTGGTCCAAGTGGCAGAGAAGAGGCTGGGGTCCACTTCATCGCGATGTCACAGCTGTCTCCACAACAGAGGACTGATCACTACCATATGTAAAAACTGATGGCCTGCTATAAAATTAGCAAACAAACCTAAAGCAAGACTTTCAAACAATAAGAGTACTCAGGTTGTTTTAATTCACTGAACTGGAGCAAATAGTTTAAGATAGGCCCTAGGAGAAACAAGCTATGCTTGATAAGGAAAGAAGCAGCAGTAGCAACTGTTACTGGCATCCAGCTTTAGTGACATGCTGGGGACAGAAGTCCATGCTGGTGGACACTGCTTGTTGTCTGAGGTGTGTGTACACAAAGCTGGCTGGAAGAGAAGGTGTGGGCAGGTAGGAGCAGCAGGCGAGGGCTGCCCTCTTTGTCACACTGCAGCAGACATCTTCCTAGCACAGTTTTCAGCACTTAGTTTCAGATGGACGGAAAGTGCCTCCAGCCTACAGACGGTGTCACATGACCGCGTGTGTCTTTTCTGTAGCTGGATGACGAAGCCACACGTGGCTCATCAGAACTGCTCAGGGACCCGAGGCTTAGCTGTTCTGATAGCTCCTTGCTGTTGAGAACAGAGGAATTTACAACGACCCACAGTCTGCGCATCGCGCTGCTGCGGCATCATGATAGGCTCAAGTTGTATTTAAAATAAGGACTAAAGGCTAGAAGTTTGAAGGAGCAAAAATTTAGTTCTCATTAAGAATATTTCACTGTTATTCTCCCTTTAAAAAGTAAAACAGCTTTAAATGTTTTTATATGCATAATTTCTTGAAGGAACCAGATACAAGTATAAGACTATCTCTAGCTCAAAATTTAAGCACAAATCTTCTTTGCTTAAATTGGATTTTCCTATCAACCTTGCTCCTGTAAAAATAGCCTAAAATGATAGTTGTAATATCTTCTTTGTACCATCATATTAGAAATGCTTCAAAACTAGAAGTATCTTAGACTTTGGTCAATAGAATGGTGAAATTTATTAAATTAATTCTGGAGCTTTTGTAGAGGATGTACTTTAAAAGAACAAGGTCTACCCTGGTACCTCCCCCCCCCCAAAAAAAACAAGTTCTACAGCAAAACGCAAGCTATGAAGAAAAAGAAGAAATGTATAATGATAAGAAATGATATGTTGAAGTAGAATCCTGTTATATACCTTCGGATATGTGAGAACTGGCCAAGTCTCTGTAGTCATATGTAGTGGTGGATGGACTGTGTCAACTTGAGATGGTCAGAAGCTTAACTTAATCTGCTCAGCAACTCCACACCCTATGACTTAAAGGAACTTTGCTAGGGTGGCTCATCGCTTAAAGGACTTAAAAGGCAAACGAGGAAGGATGGAGTGTCCCATTCTTTGGAGGAGCTCCCGTGTTCACTGTCGGCTTGGACATCGTCTCCTGGCTTCTAATGCAGACTCTTCAGCTTGCATCTTGGACCCTTCAGCCTTCCAGTGTGGACCTAACAGCCTGCTGTTGCAGACCCATCGGGCTCCTGATATGGACCTGCATGGGATACCGCAGTAAGCTCCAGACCTTGGACTGAATCCTGCAGTCTCCAATGTGCACATACCCCCCTGCACCTTCCTCATCCGACTCTGTGGCTGACTGTCGTAAGCCAGTCTTGTAATCTTTTATACACTTGTCTAACTTGTGTCCTACATGTTTCTGTAGTAAACGTTGACTGATATCTCATACAAGCATTTTTTGACAAGAATAATGGTGGTATCCAGCAATCCATTTTATGGACATCTTGGTTTTCTGAAAATATTCTAAGGAATTTGTCCAGTGTAGTTGAGACAATAACATGGCAAAGTAATGCCCAGGGCACTAAAGTTTATGAGTTGCTTATGGAAAAGTTGGCAGAACAAACAGCTACATTAGCAAACTCTGAAATAGTCATTGAGTTCAAATTTCCCTATGTGCCAAAATGTCAGATTTTCCTTTCTTCAGTGACCTTCCAAGCAAAGCAGAGCAGATATTATCAGACTTAAAAGCCCTTACTATTGAGCTTCTCCTTCAGACCATAGTATTTGTAACAGGGAGAAAGACAAATTTAAGTGCAAGTAGCCTGGCTTTTCCACTTGGAGTTCAAACACTTTGCAGAGGCTGAGGGGGCCCCCAACACTATCATCAAGAGGGTGTGCGTGGACCCCAGTGCAGGATCCCACCCTGAGCTATAAACAGAGGTTTCACCATCTGCAGGTGGTACACAAGTTCTAGGATTACGGGGAACCCTTTCGTGTGGCTAGTTGGTTGTTCCCAAAAATCTATTGCAGTCTGAAGTCACAACAATCCCTTAACACAACGAAAGAAAAACAAAATTATTTTACATAAAATATCAATTCTGTTTTCTATATTTTTCAGACCACCTATAAAAAGTTGATCGTTTCTCTACATTTGAGTTTAAAATAGGTTGCAATTTGCATTCTGCTGTTAAATGAGGCTGGAGAGAGGAGAGAATTGCTATATTTGATTCTCCTTTTTTCGGTTGTGAGATCTGTCTCTTAGGAAGGACTTGGCTCTTTGGAGATTAACGTGATCATAGTACAGAACATAGGAGGAGGGGTGTGGTGCCTGGAAATGTGCCAGCTGGATTTTGGCCAGAAGGGCTCCAGGTGAGCACCTGGGTTAGGACGTAGCTCCAGGGTGAAGGAGCGGGAGGGGAGGGAGGTCATCCCTGAAAGGATTCCGGGAATAGGGAAGGCGCCAATCTCTAGGGCCCTGGTCTGAGGGGTGGAACATGAAGAGGAAGGTACAGAAGCTCGCTGACCATGACTCAGGAAATTGTAGATTTGGGGGAAAGTATTGGGCTTGAAAGCTAGAAATACTGAGCTTTTCCTTCAGATCAGAACATTTTAATATCAGAGAGAGACAAACTTAAAAGGAAAGGTCCCCATTTACCATTTGGGGATGTAGGCTTTATGGGAAGCTCGCCCTATGGCCCAACTCTGTGATCGCCAGGAAGCATGTGCAGCCCGAAGTGGCAGCTGCACCTGGGGTCCTGCTGGGGAGCCAAGCGCACCAGCTGCGAGGCACAGCCGGAGCCTGACGCCAGCGATGAGGCGGGCTGCTCGTCCCTGTGCGGTTGATTAGCACTTACAACGACGTTTAAACAATTATCTCTCTGTGATGTTTTCCATGTGGGGATCATATTTTTACAAGATTGAAACTGTGGCTGTATGCTATGCTAACTAACCTAAATATGCAAGTGAAATGGAGCACGCTAATAATTATTGCTTATCAGATATATTGAATTTAGAAACCAAAACTGTGCAAAAAGTCATGTATTATTGCTTTGAGTTGCACCTCTAGTTTCTTACAGAAGACATTTAGCAGCAGCTAAACCTCTACATCTATATATATCAGCTTAGGATCACTGAGGAAGAGTGGACATTTGTCACAGAGGAAATGAAATATTTGAAAAGGTTTGAATCCCTGTTTTCGGAAGTGTGCAATATTAGTTGTCTTCCTAAAGTGCAATAAAGCTTGTACTTTATCTCTCAAATGAACAAGCACATGGAAATGAATGCTCTTATCTTAGGCTGGCCACTGGTTTCTGGGGTTTTAATATTATTCCTGCTTCACTACTTTAACTCAAAATAGATAAATAAGAGCCCTGGGGAAATAACTGGGCCTGCCTTTATTCTCCGTGCTGCAGAACTCATACTTAGAACTCAATAATAAATAATGTAACAGCAAAGTCTGACCTTAGAAAACTTGACTTTTTTCTTTCAATATACTTTTCTAGAATCTGTGTTTTTAACGCATACAGTCCCGACATTGGCCCCATTCCAAATCAGTGATGACTGAAAACACCGATTGGGCCTTTGCACTCTAACTCCATCTCCCCTGCATTTTAGGAGCGTCTTCTGCTGTCCCTGCTGCCGGCCCACATAGCGATGGAAATGAAAGCGGAGATCATCCAGAGGCTGCAGGGCCCCAAAGCTGGCCAGATGGAAAACACAAACAACTTTCATAACCTCTATGTCAAGCGGCACACCAATGTGAGGTACGCTGGGTGGGGGGTGATTGTGTGCCTGACTGGGGATACACTTTGTCACTGGGAGCTCCCACTTGCAGCATCTCTCCTTGGCAACTGTCAACCCTCTGCAGGGGGAACAGGCCCCACGCCATCACCTTCTGCTGCCTCTGGCCTTGTACATTTAGATAAGGACATGCAATCCTCTTTGTTTCAGTGGGTTGAGTTGGCCTCAGTAGCTTGCTTTCTATAGCTGACTGTCAGTCACAGATGGGAGAGGGCTGGACAGAGCCCTTCTGCTGGGAATCCTGGGTTCAGATCACAGTGGGATCAGAGCATGAGCCTATGGGTTTCCAGGCACAAGGACTGACCCCTCAAGATGGACTTTAAGAAGGTCTTTATGAAGTCCATGCATTCCAGGGAAGCCAGGTGTTTTGCTGTCCACCAGCAGCAGCTCTAGGTTTCTAGGATATGACTAACCAGTGACAAAGGCTGCAGGGACCGATGCGTATGTTAATCAATTCTCTTGGAAGCTACCACTTTGCCAAATGGGAAGTTATACCCTCTACTTCTTGGAAAGTCACTTCTGGAACCATAGTACACCGAAAGCTAATGCCCCAGCATCCGGGCACTATGGCCAAGAGAAACAGGGTAAGGCCTTGGTCTCCCTAAGCCCAGAGAGGAACCTTGTGGACCCCTCAGGTCAGGATGGAGAAGAGCTCCCTCCGTAGCCTCTTCTCCCAACCACTGTAGAGCTAGAACCACCACATATTTCTGTGCCCCGTCTATTCCTGGTCCTCTTTCTGTAGGGTTTTGTTCTGTTACCGATCACCATCATGCTGATTTCTTCTGGCCTATTGAAAGGAGCGGCTAATGCATCAATTTTTTTTCTCTCTCTCCTTTTTAATTTTTTTACTCTTTTGACCAATTTTGCATGCTTACATCTGGTAATCTGAGCAGCTACTTGGAAGACAATGATATGCAGTACAATAACCATTACTGAATTCATATTATTTTGTTCAGTGTACTGTTTCTAATTTTTTTATTGTTTTTGTTTTGACTACTTTTTTTTATCCTCTTTGAAAAAATTTAAAGAACACAGACACATGTCTGGCCTTCTTTAGCCTGCCCTGGTGCTGTTAGTCTAGTTGTCAGCATGTCAGTTTGACCAAAAGTTCAAGAACAACAATCATCCCAATTAAACTTTATAAAAATTAGCTAGAACTGCGATCCAGCCTCTCCCTCCCTCAGCCCCAAACCAGGCTCTCCTCTACAGCCTGCTGCCTCCTGGACCAAACAAGGTTTTGAAGTCCATCAAGAAAAAGCAAAGATAACTGAAATTTACATATATTACTAGGATAAACTGAATTTGACATCAGATCTCTGCACGTAGAGCCTATGATGTGCTGTCCATGACCCAAGCATGTACAAACATACAGCCCAATACAGAACTTGAAGGAGATCGTAGAAAAACCATGGCATACTGAATAGGAACCAAAGAGGCGCTGTTGGTAAAGGGAGCAGAAAACACTAAATACAATGAAAAACGGAGTGCTTCTCTTTCTTTGCCTGGCTTATCTCATTGGGACAATGTCTTCTAGCATTGTAACATCCATAGACACATGCTTCTGTTCAAGATGGACTGGAGTGACACCCCACTGTGTGGGCTTCTGTCTGTACATTGTTCTGGGGACAGATGTGTGTTTTACTTTGATCCCTGCTGCTGTGAATATAGCACCACACACGTTCATTTACAAATGCCTGCTCAAAGCCCAGTTCCGGTTCTTTGCCTGCATTCCCAGAAATGGAATTCCTGAACCATGTGTTTGTTTGTTTGTTTTTGAGGAGCTATTGTGTTGTTTTTCATTCATTGCTGTGAAAAAAAAAAAAAAAAAAGGATATTTCTTCCTTGCCTGCTCTGTGCTCTTACCCTGCCACAGCAATGCGTTGGGTTCCAGGTTCTCTGCAGGAATTTAGGCTTCTGTGTGCAGGATGTGCAGGAAGGTTGTGATGCACACACCCTCAGCACATGCAGGGCTCTGCGGACCCTCATCCCTGCTTCCTGGAGCCCACGCATAGGAGAGCAGGTGTCCAGGGTAGGATGCTGCAGGACTCCTCCACGCCTGGTCCATGTACCCCCTCCCCTCCTTGCACCCCAGAGTTTTCCTTCAAAAATGACCTTAAGTGGGAACATTTATAAGGGACCATGTTTGCTTAACTGAACTCTGAGCCTCACAAAGAACTTCTATCTCTGTGTCATCCTGGTCCATAGGAAGCCGTCCTGCTTATTGTAAAAAAGGCTGGGAGGAGCTAGGGAGATAGCGCAGCAGTCTAAGCGCCTGCCTGCCACGTGAAGGACCCAGATTTGATCCCTGGAGCCACATGCTGTGCTGGTTCCAGAACCTCAGGGATGCTGTGTCAGCCCCAAAACCATGCACAATGGTGCACACCTATAATCCCAGCCCTGGGGAATCTGAGACAGGAGGATCACTAGCAGTCTGAACTGTGTAGTGAGACCCAGTACCAAATAAATATTTTTTTTTCCATAGGCGGCTGAGAGATGTGGGGAAGGAGCTGGAGAAAGGGATGAGAAAAGAATTCCAATGTGGCGCGTGCATCTATGGGCTCCCCACAAGGACCGTGATTCCATGCGCTGCTAACGTGCGCTCAGAGAAATAAAGACTGATGAAAAAAAGACCAAAATCCCAATACCATTTAGGAGAGAGATTATTCCAGTTTTTTTTGAAACCATATAAACAGGGCTTATGTGGATTTCCATTAAGTAAATCCTGAGTTTACAGGATTGAGTAGAGACACTCACAGTTCCTTGCGAAGTGGATCAGTGTGGCGAAGTCAGGACATGTGCCACATGCAGGGAAGCGGGGGCTGGTGATCCAAGAGCGAGCCTGGACCGGCATGCTCCCTGCAGGGTGTTTCCATTCCTACAGACTTCATCTCTGCTACAAAAAGGTAGCCAGGTGTGGTGGCCCATCATAGCAATTCCAGCTTCGGGAAGGCTGAGGCAGGAGAATCCCAAGTTCCAGCCTAGGCAATTCAGTAAGACATTGTCTGAAAATATAAATTACAAAAAGAAATGGACTAGAAATGTGGGTTGGTATGAAGTGAAGACCCTGGTGTTCAATCCCCAGTATTATCAAAAACAAAAACAAACAAACAAAAACAAACCCTGACAAAAGTGTAATGGGAAATTTAAGAAGAGGTATATAGTCCCTCTCCAGGAAAATATTTTTCTCATGAAAATACAAAGTATAAAAACAAGGAAGCAAATTTAAAACCTCTTAACAGAAGAAGCTGTGATGACTTTCTTAACAAACCTCTAACCTGTCGCCACAGTATCTTGTATGCGGACATCGTGGGCTTCACGCGGCTGGCAAGTGACTGCTCCCCAGGAGAACTGGTGCACATGCTCAATGAGCTCTTCGGGAAGTTTGATCAGATCGCAAAGGTGAGGCCCTGACTTCCCTTCTACCGTGATAGTCTCTAAGACCTTATCCTACCTTCTCCCATCCCATTATCAAAAGCTGCTTTTCATAAAAACCTCCTTCAGGAATGTCGCCTATAAAATTCATTGGCTTCATTTGCCACTGAGCTTTGATCATTTGCAAGTCCCATACCTGGGAGGAGAACTGCCACAGCACACAATTATCAAATTGTCAGCTATTTTTAGAAGCTGCTCCTATGTAGTTCAGCACACATATAATAAATACATTCAAGATGATGAGATTTCATTTGTGGTTCTCTCTGTGCTGTGCTATTTTGAGATCTCTTGGTGGCATTTCTGTGTTGAGGAGTTGGTAAGATCATTTCTGCTCATCTGGCCGAGCCATCCTGAATTCCTATTGTTATGCAGCAAAACCGCTAAAATAGGACACTTACATTCTGTGCAAGTCTTTTGCTTCTCATTGTCTCATTCTCATCCTTTGGCTTTTGTGCTGTGCCATTTGAACAGAAATGCAAATTCATGATTTGCCCCAAAGATGCGCATGTGAGAAACTGAGCACATAGTGTGGGCCACAAGTTCTCGATAACCATCCTAGACCCGCAGGTGAACATTGGTGAAGAGAGTTGAGTTTCTCTTACCAGTTTTTGCTTAAGAAAAACATTTCCAGTCAACCTAATTCTGTCTTTGAATTGTGCTCAACAAAAGCTACTCTATTCCATTATGTCTGTTGATATTAGTTATTTATATGGCAGGAGGTTGGCCCAGATTAAACAATGTGGAATGCTCCGGCTGAGCAGCTTCAGAAGAGGTCTGGTCTGCAGATGTTGGCTGATCGTTCTTGAGCCCAGCTGCCCGTGCTGGCTGCTCAGCAGCACTCGCTGAGGGCTTTAAAGAACCAGTGAGAGCGCAGTTCTGGTTCCTTCCATTGACAAAAGAAAGGAAGCACAGGAGTGTCATAGGTGATCACTTACAGAAAAAGAAAGGTCAAGCTTTAATCTGTTAAAATTTTTCATTAATAAAAGATTACTTTTGGACTACCTGGTTGTAGTAGGAATTAATGCCCCTGTGGTGTCTTGTGGCAGCATAAGGCCGGTGCTCACATGGCTGTGTCTTCTCTGTGCCCATCCCTCTATTGTGCCCTCTTACTTAGGGACAGATGCCGTATTGGATTGGGGCGCACCCTACACCAATAGGGCCACATCTTATTACATTGATCCTATTGCCAAATGAGGTCACAAACCCAGGTGTAAGACCCAAAGGCAACAGATGCACTCGGCAGGAGGACACAGTGCGTTGCTCACAACAGAAGTACTCACTGTGACTTCTTCTGGTCACTGGAGCAAAAGAATGTCTGAGCAGAGCCCGCATCCAGGCCGGGCCGACTTGGTCCATCGATTGTTGGCCCAGAGTGTAGCACGCTTTGGAACCAGCTGGTGGCTCATAGTGAAATGCCATGGCTGGAGCGAGCAGCACAAGCACGTGCACTGAGCGCGTGCTCCCCAAGTCCCGTCCTTGAATCCGAGGGAGTCCAGATCGTTGCCAGGCACCCCTATGACTCTCGTGCTCTCTAGCAGCAGACTATCTGATGAGGAAGTATCACAGGGGAGCCAGACTAATAAGTAATTGTTTGCTTTTCTTTTATTTATGATATTGTTATTGGAACGACTAAGCATGACATCAGTAGTGCTATAAATAATTGTGAAAGTACCTCAGCATGTGAGCTATTAGAAAGAAAAAGAAATGTGCCAAATCACCAACAAATGCAATCCGTGCTTAGGAGAAAGAAAGTGTCATGTGAATACTATTCTTTGAGATTTGTTGGTGTCAGGGGAAAACAGTCTGTGTTTAGTAGATGTTTGTTGCTATTTCACTTTTCTTGAAAAGTTTATAAGCTGGCTGAAAAGGTGAAGAATGGATGTAGGACTGAAGCATATGAATGCCGTTAATCTGAACATTACAAGCGCAGTCCACCCAAGAAAAATGAGCTAGAAATTTTGTGTTGGCCAATTTTGACCTAAGATCAGAGTTATCATCTGGAGGTGTTTAATGCTGGCTTATCACACTGTCAAGATGTTGATCAACCACTCCATATCTCTGCAGGCAAGGATCTGCCTTGAGTTGAACATAGATGAAGGTAACAGTATCAGAGTAGAGAATAGCAATAGATTGTAATGCAGACTGAGCGCTGGCCACCAATTTCTACACTTGAAGGATTTTCTCCGTACAGCATGCTTCCTTTCACGGTCAGTGTTTGGAGATGCTCAGGCCGAAACATAAGATCCAGCTGTTATTCTCCTCTGCTTGTACTGAATGGAAATAATTCCAGAGCTTTCTCTCCACTTTCAATTTCCTCCCCTTTCCCTTGTGCTTCCTGTCTGGGAAATGGGCATGCGCGAAGGGTGCCCGATGCTTGCGGGGTAATAAAGGGAAATTCCTGTTCTCCCACTTGCGCGTGTGCGCTCTCCGAAGACCAGCGTCAGTCAAAGCGGCCCCTGGCCATATCGCGTACCGACAGGCTAATGCGAGTGGGACTCTCTGATTTCTTCTTTCAGGAAAACGAATGCATGAGAATTAAAATTTTGGGAGACTGCTATTACTGTGTTTCTGGACTCCCCATATCTCTTCCTAACCATGCCAAGAACTGTGTAAAAATGGGATTGGATATGTGTGAAGCCATAAAGTAAGTTTACTGTTTACTAAGACTTTTTTAAAATGTGAACAATTTTGAATTGTAATTCTCACCTGCGTGAATTTCTGTTTTCTTTCCTGTGTGCTGGAATTAAATGCACTACTGCACATATAAACAGAAATATGCAGAGACCCAGTTACTGCATATGGGGGTAACTCAGTGCTAAAGCTTCTGTAAAGGGTTGCTATTATTATTATTGTTATTATCATTACCCCTAGATTGCAATAAATCTGAGTTAGAAACTTATGAGAAGATGCTGTTTGCTTGTTACTTAGTTCTTTTTGACATCGAGAGGAAAGTCTCTGCCCTCGGTGTGTCTCTAATTTCTGACAAATTACATTATGGAGGGAAAAAGAAGTTTATAACACCAGACTATTATTAATTTAAATATTTAATTCAGAATTACTTTATCGAGTCAAAACTGAGCTTAGTTCTATGAGTACAATGTCACTTGCATTTGTACTGTGTCTCCTACATTGTGTCTGTTTTTTCATTGTGATTCTAGAGAAGATTTTCTTGTTCAGAATATTGTTATCGATACTGTTGAAAGGTATATGGCAAACATAAAAGATTAAAGGTTAATAATAGACTCTCATCCATTCTTCTTTAGCAAAGGCCTTTGCAGAAGCTAAAAGGCTCTTGTAAAGGACCCTTTCTTTACTGATTGCATAACTGAAGAATTCTAGTTTACTGGGATTCATGTTTTGATCAAGTGATTTTTTTCTTGCATTCCACATATTTTTATACGAAAATGAACTTCGTGATATTCTAGTCAGTGCTTTAAGGTTTGAGCACGTAGGGCAGGGTGGAAAAGCGAGAAGTCAAGCAGTGGTGTTGTCCACTATGTGGGTGGCCACGTGCCTGGGGATAGCTCGAGTCTTAAAGGTGGCTCTCAGGGATTGCCAAAAGGAGGAACGGAGCCCTCGCCCTCCACCAGGGAAGCTCCGTCATTCCTGAGGAGGCCACAGGCCCTCCTGTCTGTCCAGATCTGTTGGCTCCACTCCAAATCCCTGCAGGTGCTATTGGAGAACTGTGGAATGGAAGGAAACCAACACAAACCCACTGTGGACCCAGTGCCCCGTGTAAGTCGCGCTGTGCGACAGTCGTGTACATTCATACTCGCCTCATCCCGAACTAAATCATGCGCTTTCTCTTATGCAAGATTTTTACTTTTTACTTTTCTCAAAAGCAAGTAACTACCATGACTCTGCTTGTCTAGACATGAGTGACTCCATTCGAGGGAAGCGGTATTTTTTTTCCTACTTACGACCTGCCCCTAGAGGCAATTACCATGCCCATTCCCTAGTAGAGGAAAGAATTTGCCTTGATTTTCTTTTCAAATAGATGCAGGACATATTCTTATGAATGGCAAAAATATACATATGAAGAATATTTTGCACTCCCTCCTTACCCAAGCACATTCCCTAAAGAGCTGGAGACATCATATTAGAGAACTCCGTGCATGGCTATCTCTCATAGTAGCTAAGTCTTGGAAGCAGCCCTTATGTCTGCCAACAGAACAGTGCAGAAAAAAAGTGAGGCATACTGTCATAGTCGTACGCAGTGCAGCACTACCCTGGCATAAAGAAGAATGAATGTGAGTCATTGTAGGAGAATGGATGCACCTTGAAATTAGAATGTTCAGTGAAATAAATCAAACACACAAGCATAAATAGTGCGTGAGTTCTCTTAAATGAGAAAAACAAAGTATACACAATTTAAAGAGCCAAACAAACGCTAGATATTAGGAAACAGGAAAGGAGAACTTTTGAAAAGGGGAAAGAGGTCTACAGAGGAAGGGAGGAGGAAAGAGAAAGGCAGGAGAAGCGAAGGGATGAGGATGTGTTATGAAGAAGGACCAGTTCAGAGGTCTTCGTGTTCACATATTAAAACTAGGTAAATGACCTCATCTTTTGAGCTTGAATTCATTTTTAATTTTATTTTATGCAATGTGTAGACAGTTTCCTGTTCTTTGCATTTAGAAGTATACACAATATAAACCTGTTAATTCTGTGAGTAATCTTTATAGTTATGATGTATCTCTATTCTTAAAATACTTAAAATAAACACTTCATGTGCAAACAAATAAAATAAAAGTCTTTGGGAGAAAGACTCCTCGCTCTACTTACAGCCATGTCTCCAGTTCCTCTGTGATGTCTTCATTCAGTTCATTGTCTTACTGTAGTGAAATGTGTGTAAAACACCTTCAGTGCATTCAACATGTCATGTGCCCAACTGTCATTGTGTCTTCTCCTTATCTTTTCCTCGCCTTGAACAGAAAGGCACCATTCCCTCTCTCCAGCCCCTGGTCAACTGTTTCACTTTCTGTTTCCATGAGTTTGCCTGTGTAAGGTGCTGCCTATGAGGGGAATCCTGAAGTATTTATGCTTTCAGCTTTGCATTCTGTCAGTCAGCAGTGTTTTCAGTGCCAGCACATTTCAGTGCCTCATCCCTGGCAGGATATTACATCATCCTTTGTTTTTCTTTTTTGTGTTCTCTCTCTCTCTCTCTCTCTCTCTCTCTCTCTCTCTCTCTCTCTCTCTTTGTTTCTTAGTCTCTGTCTCTCTCTTTGTCTCTTT